ATAAATTTAATATGGTTTATGATAAATTTTAAATATAGACATGAAATTGAAGGTGTCAAAGATGAAAAACAAGAGGTTTGGTTCAACAAATTAACATAAGTGGTGACTTACGTCCACATACAAAAACCTTAAGGACTATAGATTGTACTCCTTAACTTGTAGAATGATTAAATATGACTTCACTTTTACAGTAAGTGTAGAATATAAAATATGAAAAATAATAATGGGGAGAGAATAAGATACTTAGCAATTCTAATAACATAAATTGAGATTTAATTCAAATTTTAATTTTGTCTTAATTTTGTCAAATCTTTCGTTGATTGTCTCGAGAGAATCTCCAACAAATACAAGTTATACTTTTCAATAGTTGATACATTTCTCAAAACTTTTTTTCTAGTAAAAATAAATTTTTTCATCAATAATAAAAAATTGCAATGGGTTACAAGTTAACCCATATCGTGTAATGTACCAAAGGTGCTACAAAGTCTAACCCTAAAATTGTAAAACACTTGATTAAGTATATGATAATAAAGCACTCTCATGATTAGATAGATATTATAGTCCAACTTGATTCTTTGTCTAATGGTGAAATTGCAAGTTAGTATAATCTACCAAAATCAAAAGATAAAAGGGAATTGTTGATAGGGTTTGCTAAATGCATTTCAAAGCAACGCAACGAATACCAACTCTTTCTCATACTCTAAACCTTCAATTAAAAAGATATAAAATAATGATAAAATTCATGTAGACTATGCCCAAAGGATAAAAAAAACTTTAAAAAATAAAATAAAATCATGATAAAAAAAAAAGAGGAAAGAGAAACAAAGAATTAAAAAAAAAAAAAAAAAAACCTATGGGTGTTTTGCAAGTTTTGTTTATACACGATACTCATTATTGATCTTTAGACAATCAAGGCTTAACCACTCGCATGTGAATTCATGTTTAGTTCCTATCAATTGTCCAATATGAAACCTCGTAGCTTTGGTCCACACACCAATAATGTGAAAATGCTCTTTCCCAAAATTTTCCGTTAGAGAATGATAAAGATGATAAAAAAGAAATAAAAGTATTGAAACACCAACTATGTAAATATATCTGATGATTAATTATACAATAAGAATAATTATTTTTTAAAATATTTAAATTAAAAATTAATTGACTTAAAATTTGAAACACTTACCAATTGATACATATCCTAAGAATTTAACTATATAATAAAACAAAATAATATTGGGCGTGCTAAATGGTTGGATCAGCTATCTTTTATCCTCAATTTGATTTTATGATCGATGTTCATATTTTGAATATTACAGAAGCTTGAATGCACATGGCATTATCATCATTGGACATGTCATGGGAGACAATAGCATGAGAGAATCCTTTGTGTTTTTTTGTTATTTATCAATAATTGATTTGGAGGGCCAATATTGCATAGGTAGGTTTCCTAGATTGGAAAAAATGGTTGGGATATACTGTGTATATATTGTGGGTGAGGTAAGGCTTTAAGTGGCCACCACAGGCCAATCATCTGAGGCCATTCGTGGTGGTATGAATGGAGAAATGAAAATAATGATGCCCTATTTGTCAGGTATTTGCATCCCCCTCCGCTCTACACCTTTTAATTTTCATAAAGGAAAATAGATGTATTAGGTGACATAGTTGACACCACACCACTATTTTTCTTGTCTCAACAAGCCAGTGGGAGAACAAAAAGAAATTGAGCAACTCATATTCAATTATTCTATTATAAGATGATTTCTCTATAGAAGTGAAAATTGAAGTTGACTTAATGCATTATATGATTTCATTTTTACAGTTCAGTTTTACTCATGAATAGTCTATATAATTTCACAAAATAATAATTTAATAAAGTTATAGCTAGACTAAACGAACTTCTAATATTCTCCTTAATCTCTTCTCTTAACAAATTGAGAACTATGCGCAAAGAAATTCCCATTTAGCAGAAGAAAGATAGATTTGTTTCATTTGCCAAAACCCTGCAATTTTTCATTTCCATTCCAAAACCAATGGTTTCTTAAAAGGAAAAAGAAAGGAAATTTCTTCATCCCGTCATGGACAATATCACCACCAGTATTACTAAATCTCATTATTTTGCAACCACAACTGAGGTCCTTTGTCAAAATTGTACTATAGTCACACGCCTTAAAAGCAAATATTTCCCTTTTGGGGACAAATATTTGGTGATTAGTCATCACTAACGAGTTTCTAATTTGGTCAAGGCGACTTTGGTACATGGACTTTGGCAAATTGTCATTGATTGTTGCGTGGAATAGACTTCTGAGGGTTTTCCAATTTTCCCTTTTTGAGGGATAGTTTTGGTTGTCTAAGCAATCTCTTCACACCTGCCTTCTGTTTTACGAACTGTTTAGGTGTCAAACGAAGGTTAGGGTTTTAAGCCTTTTTTTTTTTTACTTCATTCTTCATCTTCTTCATGTTTTTATGCATGTTTTTGGTGTTGCATTGGAAATTTTGAAGACCCATAGGATGCGCCAAGAAAGAAAAAATGGGTTTAATCCCATTTCTTGAAAGCTTTAAGAATTGTAGACATTTGACTATTTCAGCATCTTTTATCCATTTTCTTGCACTATAAATGGGAAACACTCTTTTTATCTGGCTTTCTATTGTCTGGCTTTTTATTTCATGTGATATAACTTTCAAGTTTTTAAAGTTTAAATGAATTGAGAAAAAAACTGAATTTTAAAAAATTTATGAATTTTCTCTCTCTCATAATCTCTTTTCCAATAAGTTGCGAGCTGTTAGTCCACAATCGAGTCTTTGGGCCCCAAAAGAAAAGCTTCAAAACCCAACAGGGAAATGGGCTTTCTTTTTTCAGTTTTTTCCCTTCAAAAGGAAAGCAAAATGATTTTCGCGTCGAGAAATAAAAATATTCTTTATAATGTTACTCGCATTTAAAGAGAAATGGTGTAAATAAAGATGTGAATTTTACTTATTTATTTATTTATTTAAAAATGTCAATTTTGTTAGTTTCTAAATAAGAATATTAATTTCTAATTTTTTTATTTAAGAATATTAATTTTTAATTTTCTCAATTTAAGAATATCAATTTCAGTTAAAAAATCCATTTGTGTGTTAACATTATCATATAATTAATCCTTAAATAAAAAAAAGTTAAAAATTGATATTTTTAAATAAAAAAATTGAAAGTTAACATCCTTAAATAGAAAAAAAAATCTAAAATTAGCATTTTTATTTACCCATTTTCTCATTTAGATGTTGATATCAGAACTTCTAAGAGTTTGAACTTTAATGTTAAAAATCTCAAATTTAAATAATGCCTTCCCAATTGTATGGCTTAGTATACCCATGTACTAAGAAAGAAACCTTGCACTTACATGCCAAAAAAAAAAAATTGTCATTACCACATATAAGAGTAATGAACTCCTGTAGAATGATTAAAGATCTATACAATTACACATCTTCAGAAACCTCATCGTTGAATCACATCTTCATAAAAAAAGGATTTGTAACATTCATTTTTCAATCTTTTCTTTGTTGTATAATCTTTTCTTTTGCCAAGAAAATGGACACAAAATCTGAAAATCAACTAGAATGAAAATGTAAAAGCCATTTAGTGTTTTGCTTATATTCTGACTGTGAGAAGGAGTAATTAAAATATAAGCCCAAGCCTCAAACCAAGGCCATGTATTCTGAGGTCCATTTTGCAGATGCCAACAGCAAGAGTCTTCCTCTTCCTCCTCTTGACTGTAGAAAACATATTGCAATTGGCAAGCAGAAGTAAGGTCATGACTCATGATCCGTTATACATTAAGATGGCATCAGCTGCTTTCTAAAACTGCATAAATAACGCCGCCTGAAAGCCCTGATACAATAATACTAAACAGTAAGATGTTTTGCAGGCTTATATTCGTCTTGTAGAAACCAGTTCCAACCTATCTGGAGAGAATGAGAAGAGGTTAGAAAATGAGTAAGGCAATAATGCAATGGCTAAAGAAGGGTTAGCAAGACCCATTTGGGACGTCTGGCATCCTTAAAATTAATGGCTATCTATGTTATAGTTGCCAAAAGCCAAACATGAGGAAAACAAGCCAACTCTATATGGGATAAAACTTCATCACCAACTTGTGCTGACAGCAGCCCCTTTCACAAATATGAAGATAGATTTTCTATTGTGGGAGAGAGAGAGGCAGCATATGAATGGATTAATTCACACAAATTAAAGAGTAAAAGGCCACAATAGTACTTACATGATAAAAGGAACATTATATACAGAGTGCACCCATGTCAGGTGGTCCTACATCAGATCCAGAGGATGCAGCAGATTTAGCAGATCCTCCCTTCTTGCTTTGTTTCCTTTCCTTTCTTCCCTTTCCTTTCTTCCCTTTCTGGCATCAACTGTTTGGTTACTAGAAACAGATTTCCAACATTAGAAAACAGAGAGATTTCAAGTTTTACACCCAAGCACAGGTTTCTGTAACTTGCTGATGAAATGTGGGAAAAAAATGTGAATTACACATAGGAAGTCGGGAATGCTACACAAAGCTTTGATTAACGCCATTACTAACAGAAGGAACACTGCAACATTCCGTTTCATATCATGTTCTGAAAAGGAAGCAGCCTTCTTACCAGTGTCAAAGGTGGGCAAAACAAGATGAGAGTTGACATTCAGCAATGAAATTATTATATATACACACACATAAACACTACATTTGATTTTAAATGGCAAAAATAGGCAGAAAGTAGTACAAAGTTCAAGTAGTATACATTGGAAACTTGGCTGAGGACTTCCCTGAGACTGATCCACAACAAGCCTTATACTTTTTCCTAGATCCACATGGGAAGACCTGGTTTCTTGGGATCTTCTGCTAATGGGGGAAAGGGAAAATATGAATCAGAACCATCATTTAATACCAACTCCATTTCAGTAAAAGAAGAGGATTTCTTATTTTCATTGTAACAGGAAACCTTGTCATCTGGTCTTGAATCATGGGGTCGTTTGATAGTATTGCTCGACATATCCTCTTTGCTTTTCTCCTTTGCAGGTTCTTCCCCACAGCTTGTGTTTTCCCCACCAACTAGATTCCATATTTTATTGTTAGATTGTTATACTGAGTACCATAATTCTGAAGTATGCAATCTTTTCAAACATCATAAGCAAAAACAAAAGGAATGCAAATGCCAGGGACACATCCAGTAAAATGAATCAGATCACAAAGCATCCAGCCTATTCATCTTCCTACTTAGAATAATAGAGCAAGAAACTTATAATAAATAGCAAACACATTACTTAGACAGCCAGAGGAGAAGAATAAAAGACTAATCATCTACTAGCTTTTTCTGTAATTTAGTTCCCTTTCAGCTTCCCACTAGTGTCAATCCAAACCCATAAAAAAAAATGCATTTTAACTACTGTATCCTAAGACAGAACAAAGCCAGTCATTTAATTGGCATTAATATGTAAACTGCTAATGTACTTAGAGAATGTTTTCCCAAGAAAATACTATGCTCTTAAACAAACAGCTTAAAATGTTACAGATATGTGTGCTAATCTCATGAAGAACCATCTTAAAAACACATAACAATAATCCAGGTTAAACATTAGAGAAGGATTGAAAATTTTCGAAAAAACTAAAGTAGCAAGATAATAAGTAACAAGGTTAGCCTACAAAATATTTAAAATGTGCAAATGGACTGACCATTACCATAAGTATCAGTATGGCAACCAAGAGAATCATTTTCCACAGTGTCTTCTTCTGTTCCTTGTTCTGCTACCAGAAACTCTATTGCAGCATCAACATCGCCATGTACTTGCAGTAAGACCTGGAAGGAGATCAATGTAAGGCAAAGTGAAGGTCAAAGGAAAAGAAGATGGTTCATTCATATTACATGTACTTCAAACAGGCATCTTTAAACATCATAACTGATAGAAATCACATGTTATAGGAGAAAATAAAACCGCAAAGAGAAGAAAAGATCCACCAGACTCAGTTCCTCACCTGTTCAACCTTTTCAGTGCTTTCACAACCGCTTCTGGCCATTACCAATTTAATTGATCCCTGACTGATACTGTCATCATATGCTCTCCCTTTAGACTTGGTAATTGCATCTTTTTCTTGATTAGATGATGAAGAAAGATCAGCATCAACCTTTGACAAACTAGAAATTATTAGGCTATTGTTACCAACTTAAACATTCAAACAGTCCAACAAAATAACATAGTTGTCATAAGAATTGTCACAAAAAGGAAAAGAGTTTCAAGCAGAAACCTTTATTATAATTGGCCTTGCTGGTCCACTACATGTGTCCTCCTTTAATCTCACACTATTATAGTGTTGTTCTCCATAATGATATGATCTGAAAAAAATTGGGAATCAGACTGAAGAACAGTAAGTCAATTCAACCATAATCCAAGAAAGCAAAAAAAAAAAAAAACTTACTCATGAGAAAAACATCGACAAAATAAGTAGAAAATGCAGACAAAAGAGCAAAAGAAATCATGTTTGTTTCAAGTGGGCATGATCAGTAGGTAGTCAATGGTATCAGTGTGAAAGCAAGGTCAGTAAACTCAAAATGAAAATTTAAACAAAGTTGGATCCCAAGATTCTTTAGTGGCTGTTCATAATAATGCACCTCTAGGTTCTCGCTCATCCATTTTGGATAGCCAATCTAGTAGGGGTACAGCTAGTTGCTTCACTGTCTTTCTTATGTGGAGACAAAAATCAAGCACTAGCATTTCAAGAGTTGGTACTCAATTGAACCAAAAGGCACTTGGAAGGAACCAACCTTTAAATTAAACTGTTCAATAACAAAGATAAACAAATAATAGCTTTTATTGCCTTTTCTATTAACACATGTCAAACAAGTCAAAAGGAAGCTCAATATCATATCTATCAAAATAATTTAACAAACATAGTGAGTGTACAGAACTAAAGCATAAAGAAAATTGGACAAACTTCTGCTATCAAATAAATCTCAATTCACTAGCTCCAGCTAAAATCTTCATGTTATTGCAAAACTATTATATATACTACACAAATAAACAAAATCAGTAACAGTCGAAATGACCACAAGTTAGCTACAGCCTACAAAATTGCCATTAATGTGAAAAAAACGTAATAGTAAAGAAATTTTCATCCTCCCTCCTTGCAATCAGAACATATTCAATAAAAATGAACAGTAGAAACAAGAAAAAATTTCTGAAATCTCACAAATGCACCATTCGAGCTCCACGGCTATCGAAATTCTTAGTGTGCAAGCAAGGAGACATGTTCTGCATCAAGTTAAAGCATTACACAGTTGAGAACCATGCTAAAAGAAGACATAACCTTGATATATCCTTGACAAAGCAGAAATGAGGGAAAGGATAAGGTCTTACTCGGTGTATGCATATATTACTCTGAGTAACAAGAGATGCTGCTTGCAGCTCCATTTGCCCTGCCCAAGTGCCATCCTCTGCCATGGACTGGCAGTATTTGTCAAATGGAACATCATCCTCAATAAAGGGCTCAAACTTTTCACGGTTCTTCTGTTAATTCCAGGTCTGTTGTCAGATATTTTTACAAGCTATATTTTTGGATAAGAAGGAGAAGATGTTGCCAGTGGGGTCAGGAGAGGGGGAGACATCATAAATTATCCAACCATCTTATGAGGCTACAAAATTCTTCATGAAGCATCAATAAACTGAGATGTGAATATAATATGAGCAAAGATAAATTTATTAGCAGTATAGTTAGTTCTTCAATTATATTTAAAAAGTTAAATTATAATATGTGAGTAGGAAAAAGGGCCACAGACAAAGGAAGACCACAGCATTTACTTATTTTCATGGAGCCAATTAATGTGAGATTAAAAGCAGCAGATTAGAGGTGCTACTTCACAAAAGAAGATTGAATGGGTATGACAAGGAAATGACAGGACCGACAGCAAATATTTAAAGATAAAATGTAAAAATATAGCACATATAGCAAGTTAGTGAAAACCATATCTGAAGCACATTGATTCAAGGAAAATTTAAAATGTAGCAGATATAGAAAGGTAACTTGTCTCTTGACATTATGGAAACCTTGACTTATATACCCAACATGCATTCCATAAATGTCATGGAGTCAAAGGAATTTTACCCCTTACGTCTCCTATTTTTCCTTAAAGGTATGAATTATAAATTTATAACATCTTTAAAACCATCTGTGTAGAAAATTAATAAATTTCTTTGCTTCATTCTTAAATAAAATGTTCTATTTTAAAATATAATATCAAATCATCAAGAGAAGAAAGAAATGTTTTTAAATTCAACTAATCAATTTACCACTATATATTGGACCACCATGCTCCGATACTTTCCATGTTCATCCTCATTACCTTCCAACTGATCTGCAAGGGCTCTGCCAGCTAAAAACAGTTAATAACTTAAAGAACTTTAAAAGACCATTATAAGCATCTGATGCTCTATAGATAATCAAATACACCATCTCAAAATAATAGAGAGCTACATCGTTATCTTGCAAAAAATATTAACAAGACACAAACCTGAAGAAGCAATTACCGTCTGGAGTCACTTGGATAATCTTCAGGCCCAATGCATCCAGCTGAGCACGGAGCTGTGAAATATCTTCTTGCTTTCCCTGCTTTCTTATCTGCCCACCAAACAGAATTCTTCTTTGATAATTTTGCAAGACAAAGAAGCAACCAACTATGAGAGCATTAAATAAAGGTTTCAATCAGATTATATATGTTTCAACGATAAAGCCAGATCTTGAGGAACTCAATCATCCTACAACCAAGATGCCCAATGTATGCCCACTTGAGCCAAATTTGTTATAAGTAACTTAAATCTACAGACCAGATGACTCCAATACTTTATTAGAAAGGGAAATAGTATACGGTGTTTCCCTACATCTTATATGACATATTCATGCAGTCAAATTAATGACCCATCTAATATATCACCAAGGTGTTCGTCAGACCATTTCAGAATTCCCACCTCTAGTAAATTTGTAACCGGTGTTATTACTCAGCTCCTGAGTCTCAAGAGATTGGCTCAATAAACCCTTTTTAGTGTCATATAACCTAGATGCATCCGTGAAGTAATCACTTCAGCAGATTCACTACATTGACATTCATCTCCCTATATATACACAAGTCAAACTGCAGTCTTTCCCAAACAATTACTTCCAAAAAATTATGCAAAACCTAAAAATATAAATCTCAAAGGAAGTAAAGAGATAGTATCCCATTCTTTCTGCACCTTAACACGCCATGCCAGTACAGTAGTGTTGCATGCGTAGGTGGTGCTAAGGCGCCACTTTAGCGCTAGGTGATAGAGTTTGGCATTTCTTCTAATTTTTTGGATTTTCAGTTCTATCTTATCAGTTTTTGCGGAAAAATAAAAACGCTTAGAGCACTTAACAGCGCTTAGATGGCACCTAAGCACCACTTAGGCGCTAGGCACTGGCCCAATGCCCACCACCGCCTACAGCTTTTTGCAACCTTGCAGTACAGTGAATCATGCTTTCATGTAATTCAATAACATAATATTGGATTCACTATGAAGATTATTTTCTTCTGCTCCTCCCATACAACCTCATTAAAACCCATATTTATTTTCAATTTTTTCACAGATTTTGGATTCTGAAGAAAAATTTTGATTGCATTGTTCCTTAAACTTATCTGTTGTCTCTCCAGCAACACAAAGTCCCGTTTAATTCTTAGTTCATTGAATTATATACTTCAACGATGATGATAAATGCTATCTAAGTATCTAACAGGATCATAGTAGCTTCCTTCGGTTAGACATAGTTAAAATTCCAAACCCAGAATTCTAAAGGTACAAATTGGATTAAAAACGAAATCTTGGAGATAATAAAGTATTTGAATTGACTCATTGAGATAAAATTTCAGGAATCAAAGGGAAAAGAAAGGGGACAAGACATCAAGGAAACTTACGTTAGTCGGTTTCTTGGGTTTGGATTTTCGCTGTTTGGTTTTTACCATCCTAGGAAGACCACTACAATGGCTGTCCGGACGGAGAAACGCAGGGGCAGCTTGAAGGCGGTCTGCGTCGTCTGAGGGTCGAACACAGAAATCTTTCGCGGCGACTCGGACGTGTCGGCTTAGTTCGTTCCGTGGTTTATAATGATACGCTAAGCCCACCGGGCCACCGGCATGAACTGGTTATTTGGGCTGCCCATCTTCTTTGTTAGCAATCGAGCCTATGGACCTGAAGACGGCAGTAAATAGACAAAGAATCCATTTGATCGATTACCTACTGGGCCTATCGACCTTCTTTGTTTGCCATCGGGCCTATGTGCACTTTATTGCATTATTATAGGGTTTGTTTGGTTCGCTTCATCTTGGAATGTATTTTTAAGGAAGTTGTGTAAAAAAGTATGTTAGTTTGGTCCTAAAAATTGATTTATGATAAAATTTATTTAAAAAGATACATGGGTGATTCTATAGGGACATAATTGATTATGTAGTCTGAAAATACTTTTCAATTCAAAAATCTTGAAAGAATTTCAAATGCATAATTAATTAAAAGTCCAACATAATTGATTATATTTAAAAAATTTTATTCTAACCCATTATTCTTTTTATATAACTGATTATATCACAATTTTAATTTTTTATGTCAAAATTTGATTTTTCTGAATTAAATTGACTTTTTAGAGACTCGTGATTTTTTTTTCAAAAATACCTTCTAAGATAAAGAATAATCAAAGATGCTCTAAGAAAAAGAATTCAGAAAATATAAGTCATTAAAGTGCAATGCAATCTCTCCTACGTTTTGGTTCTGAATTTTTACAATCCCACACATGTGCACAAATTACAAGACAATGCACCCGCAGCATTAGCTGCATTAGTTCAAATGTATTGAACTCTGGACAAAAATCAAAATTTTAATCGCTGTAATAACAACTTTCTTCTCCCTCTTTTGTTCAATTGCCTTTGTTTAAGAAAAAAAGGAAATTACAAGACAATATTTCTTTGGAATCTTAATCCTACGAGAGTATAACCAAACACGCCCCTGAAATGAGTTGACAATGTAATTATGGTAACTTTTCTTACGCGTTAGAATACTATATTTTTAAATAATTTCTCTGCCCATCAGGTACAATGACCGAACTTTTGTTCTGGTAAAAAGCTGAATGCCGCGGCGAATTATTACACCACTGATGTTCTTTTTGTGTGGTGTTTAATATATTATCCCTTTCTTACCAAAACCCAAAAAAAAAAGAAGAAGAGGAATTATTACACCACTTTTGTCATGGTCTTAGTAGGCAAGTTACACAAGATTTCTTACCTTTCCACATAGGACAATGATACTCCACTTTAGAAACACCACTCAAAAATCCAAAAAAAAAAAAAAAGGGGTTTTCTGATATTTACCCTTAAACATAGGTTATTATAATAAAAAAGAAAAAGAAAAAAGGAGGGGGGTGGGGGGGACTCTAATCCTATCAACAATATTCTCTTGTAAAACTCAGCAGTGCACTTAAGCGTTGGTTCATTATTATGTAGAATGTAGTGGATAAGGCATGAGATTAAGTGGTTAACGACTCACAATTTGGGATGCGACTATCTTTAAAGATGTGGGTTTGATTCTTATTTAGAGAAATACTGAAAATACTCTTTTTAATATCTTTTTTTAAATACTTTATATATGATTGAGATATGTATAATATAAATTTAATATGATTGATTATAATTTTAAATTTTAAAATTATTAATTTTAATATTAATTATTAATTATAAATTATATTAAAATTATATTTTATGTGACTTAATCACATAAAAAATGTTTTTTTTTTAAAAAAAAAATTTGTAAGAAAAAGTGCCCTTAGCACCCCTCATCTTGTTTATGCAGCTTATTACCTTTGGTTGGGTAACAATGTGAACGTCTTTAGCCCTCCTCTT